TATAATTATAAAGTTAATTTTGTAAAAGTAGTTAAAATTATAGAGAATGTGATATGGTTGAGTACGTATTTCTATTTATTATATTACCGTCAGATCATCATGTAATCGTCCTGGATAATTGATCTAACGGTTACAAACTCCAATGGAATGATTCCGCAAAGAGACTGTAGCATTTCCCTAAAATAAGTAGTAACAAATATTGCACTTTTTTTTTTTTTTTTACTGAATTTATGGAATTCATGTCTCAAAATTGCTCTACACAATGATATTATTTGATGTGGACATTTTTTTTTCCCTATCTCTATTTTTTATATTTTATTTTATTATTTTTTTTTCTATTTCTCTAGGTCTAGGCTTTTCTTGGGTTTGCAGAGAGTTGGTGGTAAGATCATAAAAGATTGTCCTAAAATAATATTTATTGATTGAAGTTGTGGTTGTCAACTCATGGCAAAAATCTGGTACAAAGGTCATTGAATTTGTGGGACTAAATTCTTGTTAAATGTAATGTGTGTATGTATGTATCCATTTATTGTTCTGGAATATGGACATGTCTTTGCATAAATGCTGGTAATAATGATAATGTTATGTCTTACACACATTTGTTTTCACATTTGAGGTGAAGAAATTACACCCTGGCTCACAAGACAACTAATAGTTGGTGTAATTTGGAATGCTTGTTTATTTTTTATGTTTTTAAATAGATATGCACAATTTTATAGTATGTTGTTAGTCAGAAATAACCGATTTGTGGTTTTTTCTAGATATGCATAGATTGATAGTAGGATGTTATATCTGAAAAATAGTATAAACAAAAGTATGACATATCGATTGCTTAACATTCATCTCGTGTCGCTGGGATACCGACAAGTGGTCGCTGAAGTTGATAGCCTATGTGTGTTATAAATGGTGCTTGGGCCCAAAGATCACTTTGGAGTCCACGAGTCTCTGGCTAGATCCACTCGAAGTTTAGTAGATAAGACATGGCGTGTTCGGATCCAGCATGTTCATAGGGAAGCCAATTTTGCGGCTGACCATTTGGCGAGTTTAGCGGTCTCCTATCCTTTGGGTTTCCAGAGAGTCCCGTCACCACCCCAAGGACTAAATGCATGGATTGATTATGATTACCGTGGTGTGGCTCACTCGCGTCGAGTTCTAGTGTCGTAGTTTCTAGGCCTTTGGCCTCCATCTTTGTACCGAAAAAAAAACATTCATCTCGTGCCACATCAAAATTGAGTTTAAAACTGAACGTATTTTATTTCATGGATCATGGATGATTGATATGTGTAAGGATTCAACATCGTTATATATATAATTTATCAATGGAGTATTGGAGTGTCATTATCTGAAATAAAACACGAAATGGAATAATAAACTTTAATTTGTCTATATATATGGTATTTTTGGGTGGCATGATATTGCCAATTTTCCATGGTTATATTTACAAACTTACCCATAATAATAGAAGGACAAGACATGTAACAACTTAATCCTCATAATATTAAATCACTAAATTATAACTACCATATGACTTGCCTATAAAATATGTGGAAGGTATAAATTTGGCCTATAGCTAGCACACCAACTTTCAAAAGACTAATGCATTCCTAAATAGAGATTAGGAGTTTCAACTTTATTTCTAACAAGATTATTGATAGGGAATATAGCCAAGCAAAGAACATCACAAACAAAACCGGTCGAGATGGAGCAAGAACCCGGAGAGCAGGCCGGGATCGATCGCATATATGTATCATGTTCGATCCCATATGCATTAGGATCGATCCTTTGACCGGACCATCAAGGCAAGCTCCACGACCAAGCCTCTAGGGTCGGTCCTTGACCTAGCAAGTAATTTATATAATATTTTAAGATGTTCGTACCGAGAATAAGTGTCTATAAATATTGAGACGTTAACTGCGGTAGGTAAGACACATCTAATTCCCGAAAATACTCTGTCATTGTTTATTTTCTTCTCAATACTAACTTGAGCGTCGAAGGATTTTTTTCCAGAGGAATTCCAACGCCATTTTGCAGGTACTGCATTCAGCTAATCGACGTAGGAAGCTTTATACATCTGAATCGGAGACCATCCCGGACCGGAGTCACGCGCACCGGACCTTATCAATTATGCACTTCTAATTAGCTCTTCTAAATAAACCATTCCTACATAGGTGAATTCACAAAAATAAAATTAATATATATATTCATTAAAAAAAAATGTTATTATCAAGAAAGAGCTTGGTGGGCTTGGTATCTTTTGTTTTTCCTTTTGATAAGGAAGGCAAGATGAATCATGTGAGATGGAGGATTTAAAGACCATTTTTCGGTTCTTTACTTTTTCCCTTTTTCTGAATTTAGATTCTCT